GAATAACGCAGCAATAAACATGGTGCGCTTATCCCTGTTTGAGTTGTGGCTTTTATTTCTTTAAGGTATTCACAGTAGTGGAATTGCTGAATCAAATGATATTTCTATTTCCAACTTCTGAGAAAGTGCCAGACTGCCTTCCATAGTGGTTGCACTACTTTACATTTCCACCAGCAGTGAATATTCCAATCTTTTCACAACCTCTTCAGCATTTGTTGTTTGCTCTATTTTCTTTAGTCTTCCTTATTTAGTGACCAACTTTCAAATGCATAGGGAACCACTGAAGAAAAAAACATGGCCTGGAAAAAAAAATACAACCAGCACCTTCGCCTTTAAATGGACATTGTTGCTCTTTAGCACTTTGAGGAGGTACCTGACAGACGACTTTCTCCACATAACAAACATCTTTTGATTTCTTGACTGCTATTACCATAGCTGTTGATGGTGGAGCCAAGTAAAATGAAATCAATAACAACTTCAATCTCTTCTCCATCTATTCTGACATTGCCTGTTGGGTCTTTGTTTTCATAATTTTGAGATTTAATCCATATTGAAGGTTTTGATCTAGATCTTCTGTAGTAAATAGTTTAAGTCTTCTTCACTTTCTGCAAGCAAGGTTGTGTCATATACATTACAGAAGGTGTTAGTAAGTCTTTCTCCAACTTGATGTGACATTCTTCTTCATATACTCTAAGTTACAGAATGATCTGCTCAGCATATAAATTGAAATTGGAAAATAAAAAGTACAATTATGAATCTAGGAAAATTGATTGAAAGTTGTTAAAAATTAAAAGGAACAAGACTGATATCCTAGGCACTACTGAACATAGACAGACTAATAGTGGCCTTTTTGAATCAGACAGTCACATGATCTATTAAGTAGAAAGTTAAAGAGGAATCAGAGTGACATTATTGACTAAAGGAATATTTCAAGATGCATCCTGAAGTAACAATACTGTAAGTGACAGGCTACTATCCATACTCACAGTCCTGAAACACCACTGTTACTCAAATACATGTGCCAACCACACAGAAAACCCAAAGATAAAGAAACAGGACAACTTTCGCTGGTTATGCAGATGACAGAACCTTGTCTGCTCAAAGTGAGGAGGACTTGAAATGCTTGCTGCAGAAGAGCAAATATTACTATAGCTTTTGGTAGAGATTACATCTCATTGGCAAGAAAACAAAAATCCTCACCATTGGGCCAACAGACACTATCATGATAGATGGATAAAAAACTGAAAGTGTCCACTAATATATCTTATTTGGATCCACAATCGACATCATTGGTAATAGGAATCAAGAAATCAAAAGACATATTACACTGGGAAAGTCTTCTATCAGGGACCTCTCCGAAGATATCAGTTTAAAAATTAAGGTTTGCCAGATTCAGGCCAGTCTTTCCAATCACTTGCTATGCTACTGAGCACTGGAAAGTGAATAAGAATGACAGAAGATTGATACCTTTGAGCTGTGGTATTAGAGACAAGTATTGAATATCCCATGGAAATACCTTAGAGAAAGTGCAGCCAGAGTGCTCCTTGGAGGTAAAGGTGATAAAGCTTTGTCAAACATATTTGGGGCATGATGTTAGAAGAGGCTATTCCTTGGAGAGGGACATCATGCTTTAAAAGACAGAAGGTTGAAGAAAGGGAGGAAGACTCTCAACCAGATGGACTGATACAGTGGGTGGGGGTCAAGTGTGTCAGAGCTTGTGTGAATGGCACAGGACAGAACAGGGTTCAGATCTGTTGTTCACAGAGTCTCTATGAATCATACTCAACTTGACAGCAATTAACAAGCACTACCATCAACTTTGCACCCTAAACTTACATGCAATCAATACATTAATAATAACCGGTGACTAGAAGGCAAAACTTTAAAACAGAAGGACTGCTAATTGGAAAAGTGACTTTAGTGATAGAAATGGGACTGGAGAACAAACGCTAGATTTTGTACAATGATTTCTTTATTTATTGCAAATACTTTTTAATAAAATATATACATAGACTTTATATATGGACCTCACCTGATGGACTACACAGGAATTAGAATGACTATATGTATGGAAAGAGGCAGTGAAGAAGTTCAATATTAGCAATCAAAACCAGGCCTCAAACTGGACAGATTATCAACTACTCATATGCAAATTCAAATTAAAGAAAATGAAAGCAAGTTCATGAGAACCAAAATATGACCTTGATTGTATTCCAATTCAATTTTTAAAATAACATAAATTACCTTGACTGTATTTGAAAAGAATTTTAAAACCAACATAAGAAGGGCTGGCCAAAACAGCTCAATTGGGAAAGCATTAGACTGAAGATCTAAAGGTTCCCAGTTTGATCCCAGGTTTTGGCAATTGTAGCTAGGGTGTGTTTTCCTCTCTGCTTCCAGCTTCAATGTTGCCATATTCCCCAAATTAAATTGTTTAACCTATGAAATCTTGGGCTATTCCCACATGTTACCAACCTACAGATTAAAGTGTTGTATTCTTAAAACTAACATAAGAACAGACTTGATGCAGAGAACACAAATGACTGAGTTGTAGTATGACATCAAGGACATCATCCATGAAGAAAGCAAAAGATCACTACAAAAAGAAGGAAGAAAGAAAAGGTCATATGGACTTAAAACAGACCTTGAAACATGCACTGGAATAAAAAGAAGCCAAAACAGTGGTTGTTGTTAAGTGCTGTCGAGTCGTAGGCAACTCATAGTGACCTTATGAACGAAAGACCTGGACACTTGAATAACTTTTGTCCTTTCTCCAGGTTCATAGGTTTCCAGAGGCAAGCTATTTCAGAAGTGGATGCCACTCCTGCTTCCAAGCTTGTGTTAATCAGGGAGCTCCACCAAACACTGTCCACCATGGGTAACCATTCTCACATTTGACACATCAGTGTCAGTGTTCAACTTCACAGCAACCACGGGTTACCTCTGTACAGCAAGAGGACAGACCTGGACTATAGGACCTAGAAGAATGTTTCACCAAAAACAGCTAAAGACAGGCCTGTGGGCCGTGGATTAGGGTCACCCACCTTTGGCTTGGTATCATCACTATCTGTCCACTAGGCCAACTGATCTCTCTCTATGCTGTTGTTGTTGTTAAGTGCCGTTGAGTCATAAGCGAGTCACAGCGACATTATAAAGAATACTAAACTAAGAGAACTGAACATAAGATTTCAAAAGGCTGCTCAGAAAGACAAAGGAAAAAATTATAATGAAATATGAAGGGAACTAGAGTTAGAAAACTAAAAAGGGAAGACCTTCATTTCTCAAGCTGGAAGAAGTGAAGAACAAATTCAAGCCTCAAGTTGCAAAACTGAAGGATTCTATGGTCAAAATCTTGAATGACATAGGAAATATCAAAGGAAAATGGAAGGAATGCACAGTCACTCTAACAAAAAGAAAGGTCTGAAACAGAATGATTTCAGAAAGTAACAATGATTGATTGTACTGAAGGAACCTGCTGCAAAGAAGTCATTTGCAAAAAATAAGGCCCCTGGAATTGATGGGATACCAATTGAGATGTTTCAGGAAAGAGATGAAACCTTGGATGTGCTGACCAGTCTCTGCCAACAAACATGGAAGGGAACTATCTGTCCAACTGACTGGAAGAAATTTCTATGTATTACCACTTTAAAAAAGAAAGAAAAAGATGCACTGGCGAACAGAAATTATTGAACAATATCTTTAGTATCACATAAAAGCAAAAAAATGACTAAAACAGTACACTGACAGGGAGCTGCCAGAAATTTAAGATGGTTTCACAAGAGACTGTGGCACAAGGGTATCACTGTGGATGTCAGATGGATCGTAATTGAAAGCAGAGAATATAAGAAGGATGTTTACGTGTTTTAATGACTGTGTTCTATACTTTTATGCAAAAGCATCTAACTAAATGGATCATAACAAATTATAGCCAACGCTGAGAAAAATGAGAATTCCAGGACACTTAATTGTGCTCATGTAAAACCTATATACTGACATTGTCTCAACAGAATAAGGGAACACTGCTCAGTTTAAAAACAGGAAAGGTGTGTGAGCATCAGGGCTGTAGCCCTTCTACATACTTAACGAATGAACTAGTAAGTTCAAATTGTAATGCTTTCAGTTAGCAGTCAATGTTAAACCTGCAGCATCACCAGGTTCCTCAGAAAGCTGGATAAACTCCTAAAACAAATGCCCTACCAATTCTAAAACACTAAACCAAATTAACCAATATTTGTGTTTAACTAGCAAAGAATGTCAGTCTCAAGCATTTTACTTTTAAAATCTACCTAAAAAGAACTAAATGAACAGCAGCAACACAAAATCTAGATAAGAAAGAGGGGGAGAAACTCAGAAAAGGGGAGTGAGAATGGTTGTATTAGAATAATGTAACCAATGTCACAGAACTGTATGGACATTGAATTAGTTTTAATCCTGCTGTTTATATTCTTGACATGAGACAAATTATTTCCAAAAGGTTATGGAAATTAAAAGCATTGCTATGAATCCTATCACATCTTTGAAACATAAAAGAACGACATAATCATAAAGTGCAGCATTTTTTAACAGCATATATAGTGTTTAGCGTTTGATTTGTTTGTTTGTTTTTAATTAATCCTCTCAAAAAAGCTATAAAGAAGGTTAAAACTTTTTCTTTAGTCCAGATGAGAAAACGAAAGCTTTATCAAGGATAAGTAATTCAGTAGTTGAGCTAGAATCTGGACCTATATAATGCTCTCTGACCATTTTCTTAAACCACCATACTACTCCTTCTATAAAAAAACCTCCAAACCCTAGAAAAACTCCAAACCAACTGCTTCTAGTTCATTAGGACTCATGCCACGCCTCCACTCAAGGTTGACCCATTCCCTTCTCAATTTTAAACCATGCAGTACTCCTCTGCCCTGTTTGCACAACAGCCTCTTGGTCCAGTTATATGTTCCACATGAGCACATGCAATTAATTCAATTAGTTACTATATGTTTGATTCTTATTTCCTTTACCTTATCTCCATCACCATGGGTTGGGGAGCACAGCAGATACAATGCATGATAGGCCAGTTCTGGTATGTATTTTGCTTCACTAAAGTTTCTAAACAAAGAAGGCAAAAGATTGATTATTGGATAGAACTTATAATGAACTATTCCTTAATTCTAAAGAGCCTTAGTGGTGAAGTGGGTTAATGATGGGCTGCCAGCAGTTCAAATCCACTGGCTGCTCCACTAGAGTTCCTCCCACTAAGTTTACAGCTTCAGAAACCTGAGAAAAGGGTTACCAAGAGTCAGAATCGACTTGAAAACAATGGGTTGGATCTCAAAAACTTGTATTTCAAAAAATAAATTCCATCTGTATAGTATTTATATTTCAACAACAGCAAAAATTATTACATCAATATTTTAGCACTGGGAGATTTAATGGCTTACCTGGTTCGTGAAACTTGAAATTCATCAGGAATTGGCTCAAAATTAGTTAACGCAACAAATACCTAGAAAACAGCAAGAAGAATGATTTTTTCCTGTTGATTGCAGTTAATTAATTATGGAAGCAGGAGTAGCATCTACTTCCTAAGTAACATGCCTCTGGAAACTCTATGAACTTTGAATTAACTATTTATGCCCTTGGAGAAGGCTGCATGGACACTGAAATTTTCACTTACCTCTACACAATTCTGCACACACTGAGGCTTTTCTTTCAGGGAAAACTTGGGCAGAAGTCTTAAAAAATTCTTCAATAGTTGGAAGATGGCATTTCGAATACGAGAAAGGTCACGGGTAGAAAAACAAATAATCTCTTCATCTTCTTCTTCTTGTAAACTTATTTCCATCTATGTTACAAAGAAAGGTACATGACTTTTTAAAAATTCCCAACGTATAGCCTTCTGACTTTGAGAGAACCCAAAGTGAGACCAGCTAAACTTCAGAGAAGACTAGAGAACTAACCTGATGACTCTGACCAAGTCCTGTGCACACTCTAAGTGGACAGACTAGTTGTATACCATCAGATCAGAACTAAGTCCTCATAGCAGACCCTCTAGTGGGTTTTCAGAGACAGTAAATGGCACAAGAAGAGACTATCTATCCTTCCAAGGAGCATCCAATGAGTTTGAACCAAATGCCTTTGGGACTGCAACACAGCTCCTTAACACAAGGCCACCAGAACACCCTGGTTGAATTAGATGTTGGCTAAAATAATTCCTAGTCTATATGTTTGTATCAGTAAAAATTCTTTTTGTTTCTTAAAAGTTTTAAAGTAAAAAATAAAAGAATTTGGAATTGATGTCATTGAAGTATGCTCATAAGTACATGAGCCCTCAGAATGTTTCTTCTATCTTCTCTAATGATAAGATGAGAGGCAAAACACACCAGGAATTAACATGTTCTCAAGTATACTTGGGGTAGAAGATGGCTAGGTAACATATGAGGAAATGTACTCTCGGTATTCTACCGAGTGGCAACTTAGAGTCATGCTGGATAAACAGACAATGTTCTAGGACCTTTCAATGTTCCAATTCACATTTTAATAGAAGGCCAATCTTTAATGAAATGAAAATCAGAGGTAGGTAGGGAATTTTTTTATTGTTATTATTATTATTATAATAATTATGGCACTTCTTACCTCATAATCCTCCTTTCTGGGTGGCTTTCCTCTTTTTCTATTCCCTCGTGGATTACCCTGGGAGCTCTTATGCTGTTCTTTCTTTCTCTTCCTGTTCATGTTGGACTCCTGAGGCCAGCTCTTCTTTAGAATTTGTATACATTTGTCAAACATCACAGGATGGAATACTTGATTGGCTATACTGCCTAATCATAAAGAGTAAAAGTAGTTAAGATTTAGCTCTCTTGAAATATGTTTGTAAGAGGAGATGAAAATTAAAATGTAAACTAGACTTTTCATTAAATTTTAGTAACAAAGAACTTTACCAAAAATGTCCCATTAGTAACTTCAGTTTTAGTGGGCAATCAACAGTGCTAAATTAGCAATATATAATAATTTTACTTATGGCAATGATGGAGTACGAGGTTTCATACATGTTGTCTTATCATGAACAACACTTTATAAAATAGAAAAATCTGTAGCAATTAAAAATGGAAAAGGAAAGTAAACATACAGTAATTAAATACTACATACACTATTGCATGAACAATGAGTCAAGAAATAAAGCAGAACAAGAAATCATACATTTCTTCACATCCAAGAAAAATGAAGGGACAATAACCAAAAACTTAAGGGATACAGAGGAAGTACTACAGGGAGACAGATAATGAGTGGATTTATCTTAGAAATGCAGGGACACTTCAAATTCAGAAAGTCAGTCACTCAATTGCATACATTACATCAACAGAATAAAGGAAAAAATTATAAGATCAATACTGTGGATCAAAATAAATTGATAAAATGTTAATTAAAATCAAGAGAACTGGAATAAAAGTTCCTCAATACAATTCAGAATAATTCAGGGGAGAAAAATACATAAAGCCAACAGCAGCTCATATTACACTAATATTACACATACCAGAGAAAGACAGCTTTCTCAAAATCTGGAACAAGAAAAGGGTGCCCACTCTGATTACTTCTATTCTCAACTATATTATAATAGACGTCAAAGTAAAAAGATAAGGAAGAAAAGTTATCCAGATAGGAAAAGAAAATTAAAAATGATCTCAATTTGTAGATGACATAATCTTAAAAACATAAAGGCAAAAGGAATTCACAAGAAAACTTCTATAACTAATTTAGCAAAGTGCAAGGCCAACAAACAAAAATCAGTTTGGTCGTTAGGTCATTGGTAAGAAATCATAAAGAGAAATTAGGGGAATAATTTATAATAAAATCTAAGAAAATAAAATACCAAGGGCAAGAAGGATTTATATAAGGAAAATTACAAAGCACTGCTGAAATTAAAGATACAAGTAAACGCAAAAAATGTTCTAAGGCCTAATATTGCTAAGAAGTCAGTACTTACCACATCTTTGTCATCTATGGTTGTGTCGAGTTGGAACCGATCCACAGTTGTCCTTCCAGCAGGTTTTTAATGCCAGTTAATTGCGTAAGAGGAGATTGCTCCTCTGTCTCCCATGGAGCTGCTGGCGGTTCTAACTGTCTGTCTTTGGGATGGCAGCACAGCTTCGACCACTAAGCCACCAGAGCTCCCTTTTTGTTATCTAGTGCTGCTACACCAAAATACCATTAAGTGGGTAGATTAATAAATAGAGCTCTATTCTCTCATGGTTTAGCCAGTGAGAAGCCCAAATTCAGAGCACCAGCTCTGGGGGAAGGCTTTTCAATCTACAGGTTTTGCAAGAAGGTTCTTGTGTCTTTTCAGCATCTAAAGACCCGGCATTCCTCCATGTGTCTTGGTAGCAATCATTTCCTGGATCTAAGAAGTTTACCACACTGTCCCTGGGTCAGAAAGACGTGTTCTGTGCCTAGTTCTTATACTTGAAGATACTGAGATACTTCCTCATCTATGTTCCTTGTTTAGTCTCTTTGATATCTCAGAAGAGAGTGACTTGGCACAAGTGAAAAGTAGCTTTACTACTGTAGCCAGCAATAGGGTCCAGAGGAGACCTGGCTGATTGGAGTTACTAGGCCTGTATCCAGAAGGAGTCACAACCAAGAGACTGAAAAGTGGATTTGAGGGCTTCGGCAGCACTTCCTACTGTGGCACTGGTGGCAACATGTAGTCCCTAGGGACTCTGAATCACGCCCCCCCTCCAGTCAGGCGGAAAAGAAATCAAGAGCCAGAGCCCATCACATTATACCTTGTACTGTATCTCAGCTGCTTTCTGCTACTCTGGTTGATGAAGTACTCAGAATTGGCAATGTTGAGATTTCACAGGTTCCTATTGTGGGGATAATCAGACATGCAGAAAAGGCACCAACATTGTTTACAAAATAGATGATGTGAGAGCTGCAGCCACAGATGTTCGCCAGTGGGTTGACACAGATGATACAAGAGGTGAAAACACTGTAGTTCCTCCAGAAACATGTGGAAGTGGCAAGGCCATCTTAGACCTTTTCAGAACAAAAAATATCTGGTAGTCTTTAAAAGTATGCCCTTGGGAGAATATGAATGAGTTCACCACACAAATTCTGAAGTAGTCAATGCACACATGATGGTGAATAAATATAACAGCCAGATCTCAGCAGGGAGAGTACCTGTAAGCAATCCTGGAATGGATGAGGTAGTAATTACCTTTGCTCCAGCAAATGGCCTTATTGTGGCCTCAGAACAGGTGCTGAAATTGATTACAGCTTGCCTAACATCTGAAGGGTTGGATTTTCAAGATCTCAAAGCTCAGCTCAATCACATGAATGTAGCTGTGATTAAGCAAACTCTGGAATTTCATAGCAATGAGGGACACATGACACATGTCCTCTACTGTAGATGTTGATCATTTTAAGTCCACAGACACAGAACAACCAGATCTAATCAGAGACGTGGTATTTTGCAGCTGGTCTATCTTCAAAGGCATACATGTTTGGTTAATTGACTCTAGGAAGTCGGTTTCCTACATAGTAAAGTGGACTGGGGTGGCGGTGGGAAATTGTACAACAAGGAAAGATTTTTTTTCTCTTTTCAGAGAGAAAAGTGAACTGGGAGGGGCAGGGAGGAAAATGTGAAACAATGAATGAATGGATATCCAAGTTCTTTATAAACTTTCATTGAAATATAAAAAGAAGAATTCATAAACAATAAGCAAAAAAAGTCTCAACATCTTTTTGAAACTTCCTGTTCTTTGTATTTTTTTTAATTTTGAAGGAGGGTGGGCAGGGATGTTAAACCAGAGTGGAATTACTTGGAAAGGTTACAGATAAGCTAATTAAACATTAGGATGGATTTGGGAGAGGGACACTATAACGAGAATTGGACAGTGTTACTTAAACTTTCAGGAGCTTCTCCCGTCTTAAAATGTTTCTTGTTGAGAGAAAATGGATGGGAGTAGAGCCTTTTGGTAGAGAACTAAAGCAGAGACTTGCGCACTCTGCCTGGTTTTGTTTCTCACTTTGGTTATGCACTTTGTTCAGCCTCTTGTTATGACTGCCGCCAAGTGTTTTGCTATAGATGAAGGGTTCTGGAGTGAGGGTGGCCCAGCAGGGCAGAAGGGAGGAACACCATCTTTGTTACCATTCTTTGTACTAAATAAGTGCATTCATATATTCAATAAAAAGTTATTATGGAGAAAAAAGAAAAAAAAGACTGACTCAAGATATAACCTAATGGTACAGATTGCATCCAGCCTGACTAACATAAATACGCAAAATGATCTTAAAATGAAACAAAAATCTCAAATTTCCAACAGAAATCTTTATGTAAATGGAAAAAAAAAATACCCCTTAAAACCTCTAACAAATTCTCGACACTATATGAAATGAAAAGAGGTGTTAAAGAACTAGTACAATGCTGAGAAAAGAACAAAGAGGAATGCATATTTTCCGTCTTGAACAAACACAGCTAGGGTAACAAAACATCCGGGAAGTACTTTAGCAACAAACACACAGACTGGGAGTCCAGAAATAAACTCACTTTATCTTTGGTGAAAATACAAGGACATTAAGTTGATTCAATGGAGAAAGGTTAGATTTCCACATGCAGAAGAACGAAGACAGATTCATTCTTCATACCATATGTGAAAGCAAATTCAAAACAGATTTAAAAATATCTCTTGCCTTCAAGTCAATTAAAATTCATAACCAGCCTATAGGATAGAGTAGTATCATGGCATAACGTTTCCAAGGATGCAATCTATTTTTGACGTCTTTTTGTCCTTTAAAGTTGGGTGATTTTTTTTAAATTTATTTTTGAGTGCAACTTTGCAAATCATATTGGTTTGTCAATCATTAACACATTTTGTTTCATAACATTAATTACACTGATGTCTTATTTGCTGATCAATCATTTATTATAAATTGTCTTTCTCTTTATTCATTTTATCTGTTCACTAATTTTCACTCTTTTCTGCCTTTCAAAAACCTAGTAAGCATCCAAAAATTATTCTAGCTGTACTAACAGGCAATGGATTGAAAAGACCATGGCTTGAATCAGCTGCATCTTGGTCTTCAAACTGACAGTATTGGTCCTCAGTAAGAGTCTGTAACATTCCCTGATAGCAGACTTTCCCAACGCAATACATCTCCTAACCTCCTGACTGATTGTTTCTAGGGTGTTGATTCTGGATCTGATTAAGATGAAATTGTTGACAATTTCAATCTTTTCTCTATCATGATGTTGCTTATTGGTTAGTCCAGTGGTGAGAATATATGTTTTCTTGATGCTGAGATGCAATCCATATTGAAGTCTTTGATTTTCTGGAGCAAGACTTCAAGACTTCCTCACTTTTAGCAACCAAGTTTGTGTCATCTGCATAATGCAGGCTGTTGATGAGTCTGTGTCTGACATGATCACATTTTTTTTTTTCATAGAGTTTAGCTTCTCAAATGACTTGTTCAGCATTTCTGAAGCTGAAAGAACTAAAAAACAAATTCAAGCCTCAAAGTTTAATATTGAGACATTACGGGAAATATCTTGAATAATCCAGGAAGCATCCAAAAAAGATGGAAAGAATATATTGTCTCTGTACCAAAAAATATTGGTCAACCCTGAAATATTTTGTGAAATACCATATAATGAAAGAAGAAGTTGTTCAAACTGCACTGAGGCAATGGTAAAAAATAAGGCTGCAGGAATGTGTAGGAAGCCAACTAACATGTTTCAGCTAACAGATTCAGCCCTAGATGTACTCTTCAGTCTGTGCTAGGAAATCTAAAGGACAACTGCCTGGCCGACTGACTGGGAGAGATCCATATTTAGTCTCATTCCTAAGAAAGGTGATCCAACACAATGTGGAAATAATTGATTAATTATCGTTAATATCACATATAAGCAAAATATTGCTGAAGATTACCCAAAAATGGCTAGAACAGTATAGTAACAGAGAACTAAATGTCAGAGGTTCACGTTGAGTTTAGAAGAGGCTATGGTACCAGGGATATCATTGGTAATGTCAAATGGATCCTGGCTAAAAGAAGAGTATACCAGAAAAATGTGTATGTCTGTTTTATTCACTACGTTGTTGTTGTTGTTATGTGTCATCGAGTCGTTGGCGACTCATAGCGACCCTAAATGCCATTCTATCCAGTGCCAACCTCACCGTCTCAAACACACTCATTCCCACCACTCCACTCACAAAATCGATCCATTTCATCGAAGGTCTTCCTCTCCTGCTTTCCCAAACATGATGTCCCTTTCCAGTCCCTCCTTGCAACATGCCCAAAGTATGTCAGATGAAGCTTCAGAATCCTTGACTCCAAGGAGCACTCCGGCTTCACCCTCTCCAGGACAAACCTGTTTGTTCTCCATGCAAAGATATTTATTTGACAGTGTGGATCACAACAAATTGTGTCTAACATTGAGAAAAATGGGAATCCCCAAACACTTGACTGTGCTCCTATGAAGCCTATACCTAAACCAAGAAACTGCTGTTTGAACAGAGCAAAAGAACACTGCATGTTTCAAAATCAAGAAAGATGCGTCAGAGATGCATCTTTTCTCTATACCTTTTCAATCTATATGCTAAAGAGACCTTTCAAGACACTGGACTTTATAAAGAATGTGCATCAAGATTGGAGGAAGTTATGCAAATGACTGCTGAAACCGAGGAACACTTGAAGTGCTTACTGCAAGAGATCAAGGACTGCCACCTTAAATACAGGTCACATCTCAACATCAATAAAACAAAAATCCTCACCAGCATGCCAGTAGGCAGTATCGTGATAGATGGTGAAGTTGTTAACAATTTCCTCTTGCTTGTGGGGATCATAATCTTGGTACCAGCAGTAAAGAGATCAAGAGGCATACTGCAATGCAAAAGTCCATCATCAGAGTCCTCTCCAAACTCTGGAGGGGTAATGATGCCAGTTTGAAGACTAAAATGTGCCTGATTCAAGCCATGGATCTTTCCAATCACCTGCTAAGTACCTGAAAGCTGAACAATGAATAAGGGTGTGGTTTTGGAGAAGAGTACTGAATATCTCAAAAGAACAAACCAATACAAACTGGAGAAAAGGCAACCAGAGTGCTCCTTAGAGGTTAAGGACAGTAAAGCTGCTTCTCACACACTCTGGGCACCTTGCTAGGAGAGGTAACTCCTTGGAAAGGGACATCATGCTTGGAGGGTCAGAGAAAAGAGAAGACAATCTAACAAGACGGCTTGGCACAGTGACTGTAGCAAAGGGCTCAGGTATGTCAGAGATGACGAGGATGGCACAGAATAGGACAGGATTCAGATCTGTTGCGTACAGGGTTGCTATGAGTTATGCTCAACTCCATGGCACCTAACAACAGCATGCTAACTATTTAACATGTTGCCATAAAAAACAAATTAATTATACAGTTACGAAAACACCTCAGGAGGGGAGGCAAAATTTAGAACATGTGAGTTATCTGCTTAAAAATATGCTATATGCAATTTTACAAATTCCCAAAACAAAACAAACGGAATAAATTAACATTTATTAAAAATGTATTTAGCAAATTCAATAATTCTATCTTACCCCTTCCCCCATTAATATTGTATTTGCAGTACGGAGGAAAATGAACTTCCTAAGAGTCACAGGAGTAACAATACAAATTGAACAGTATTCATAAATAGCTTTTCTTGTGCTTTCCTTCAAGTATTAGTAATCATTGTTGTGCTTTCTCAGTTATAATAGTTTTTAAATTTATTTTCAACTCCTCACATCAGCAGAGAACTGCCGGAAGTCCAGGCTGGGTTTAAAAGGGGTCGTGGTACTAGGGACACTGTAGCTAATGTTAGATGGATCTTAGCTGAAAGCAGGGAGTACCAGAGGAATGTCTATGTTTCACTGACTATGAAAAGGCCCTTAACGGTGTGGATCATAACAAATTGTGGCTGACTCTGAGAAAAATAGGAATCCCAGAACACCTGATTGTGCTAACGAGAAACCTATACTTGGACCAAGAGGCAGTCATCAGAACAGAGCAAAGAAACAATGCATGGTTCAAAATTGGGAAGGGCCTACACCAGGGATGCGTCTTGTCTCCATACCTTTTCAGCCTGTATGCAGAACAGGTTATCTGGGAGGCTGAGCTCTAGGAGGAAAAATGTGGGGTCAGGACTGGTGGAAGAGCTATCAACAAACTGCGATATGCAAATGACACAACCCTGCTTGCTGAAACTGAGGGGGACCTGAAGCGCTTGCTGCAGGAGGTCAAGAACTGCACCCTCCAATATGGATTGAGGCTCAATATCAAGAAGACAAAGATTCTCACCACTGGACCAATTGGCAGCATCAGGATGGATGGTGAAGAGATTGAAATTGTCTTTAGTCTGCTTAGCTCCATAGTCAACATCAATAAAACAAAAATCCTCACCAGCATGCCAGTAAGCAGTATCGTGATAGATGGTGAAAAGACTGAAGTTGTTAACAATTTCATCTTGCTGGTGGGGATCATAACCTTGATACCAGCAGTAAAGAGATCAAGAGGCATACTGCAATGCAAAAGTCCATCATCAGAGTCCTCTCCAAACTCTTGGCACCAGCAGCCAGGAAATTAAAAGATGTATTGCCATGGGAAAGTCTGCTGTTAGGGACTTCTCCAAAGTACTGAAGAGCAATGGTGTCTCTCTGTAGACTAAGGTGCGTCTGATATAGGCCATGGTCTTTGCAATCACTTGTTATGCGTCAGAGAGTTGGACAATGACTAAGAAGGATAGAAGAACTGATGCCTTTGAGCTGTGGTGCTGGAAAAAGAGTATTAAATGTACCATGGACTGCTAAGAAAACAAACAGAATCAACCTGGAGACGGTTAAACCAGGATTCTCCTTGCAGACAAGGATTCTGAGGTTTCGTCTGACATACTCTGGACATGTTCTAAGGAGGTACCGGTCCTTGGAAAGGGACATCATGCTTGGGAGGGTAGAGGGACAGCACAGGAGGGGAAGACCCTCGATGAGGTGGATTGACCCAACGACTGGGGTAATCGGGATGGGTGTGTTGGAGGCAGTGCGACTGGCACAGGACAGAGCACAGTTTAGGGCTGTTGTACACAGGGTCGCTATGAGTCATAAGCAACTGCTGTGAGTTGTAAGCAACTCGACAGCACGCAACAACAACAACTACTAGAGAGAGATAAAATAGTAACTTCTCTCAGTAAGACATCCTGTAAGCCTGAATAGGAAGCCATGGGAGAAAAAAATTTTAAAACATTAAAAAAGCGAATAGGGAGTCATGGAAACAAAGGATCTTGTCCAAATTTCATTTCTGAGTCAAGGGTTGAGGGACAAGAGTAGCAAAGGAGTTCCTGAAGCTTGGAAATAAATTCTTCTCAGTTTCACACCTCTAACCTTAGTTATATTATAGTTATAGCAACATTAGACAGAGGAATATCAGAAAACAAACATACTTAAAGAAATGAGAAAGGTTATTTTTCCACATTATATTATAGGTACAGCACAATAACAGACATACACAAGAACATAAAAAAATAAGCATATATGAGAACACAGGAGAAGGATAGTTTTCACATTAATTATATTGTATTACAGATGTAGCATAGTAATAGGCAGTTAGGAAAATATTAAGAAAACAAAATATATTTAAAGAAAAAGAAAGGAATTTTTCTAATTTTGTTGTTCTTGAGTTTAATTGAGTCAGAACCATCCCACAGCTGACCTTCCAGCAGGTTTTCAGAGGCAGTTAATCACATAGAAGGAGAGTGCCTATCCTTCTCCTGAAAAACGGCTGGTGGTCTTGCCTGCAGGAATGCAGCACAACTTCTCACTAGGCCACCAGAGCAAATTTTTCTAATACATATCAAAAACCAAGTCTTCACATACTTCCTCTCATTTAAGCCTCAGAACAAATCTATGGGATGGGTTATCACTGCCCCACTTTTTAAGTAGGGAAACAAATGCACAAAAATCATGTGGGGAAAAAAAAACTTGATTTGAAATCTGTCTGACTGTATAAGTATACATACCTGGGACTTCAAGAAGCAGAAAATAAAGCCGAGCAGCATGAAGGCCATATTCTCGATACTGTGCACTGGTGTTTTTCTTATGAACTAGTTGAACAAAGTGATAGAATAATGCCACAAGGACACTATGAGAAATATTGTTCTCAGAGAAGAAGGTCCAAAGGTTCTAGAGGAAAGAAGGAGAGAGGACAGATCACAGAAGTCAATGATTAGAATGGAAAAATTTATTCGTTTGTATTTCTCAAATTCTAAGTGCCTATTACAGACAAATAGAACAATCTCACTTCCAGTGCTAAACAACTGCTCTCTTCTAAGGAACTGAAATAAAAAAAATCCATTATTCAAAAAGCAGAGAGATAAATAATTATATGTTGTTGTTACGTGCTTTTGAGTCATACACGACTCATAACAACCTGATGAACCTTAGCACTGTTCATAGAGTTTCTGGAGGCAAGTCATTTCTGAAGTGGATGCCACTCCGGCTTCCAAGCTTGTTTTAATCGGGAAGCTCCACCAAACACTGTCCACCATGGGTAACCATTATCACATTTGGCACATTAGTGTCACAGTGTTTAGCATCACAGCAACTGCAAGTTACTTCTGTAGAGCAATGCACAGACCAGTGCTATACCACCTAGAAAAATGTTTCACAAAACAATCTGAACCAGACCTGAGGGCCACAGATTAAAATTACCGAGCTTGATAGTTTAACTTTCTGTCCACTAGGCCAAATATATAAGATACTAAAATAATCAAACCTTTCAAAAATTTGGGTTAATTTAAGGATATAAACTTTTGAAATTATTAGAAGTCATGACTATGAAGCTTTTAGGTCAATTTGTATGATCTAGTGACACAATGGTAAAAAATACACAATAACAAATTAACTATCACTTAATCATTATTCTTCCATCTGTGTATGATGTACCCAAAAGTCATATTCACTCTAATTACAAAATAGGAAAACAGAGATATTTCTTTGCTGTTAACTGAAACATTGATGGTTCAATTGATGGTTCAAACATAACCAGAGGCTCTGCATGAGACAACACTGTGGTTCACCTAGTGATATGATCTAGTAAGAAAACCCCACAGCCGAGAAAACCCCATTCTGTCAGGTCAAAGCACTGAGTAACAGCACCCAACAAGGCTGGCAACAGGAACAGGAAAGACAATACCACAAAGGATCCCCTTCAACAGACTACAGAAATTCCATAGGTGAAAAAGAAAAGAAACCCTGGAATACAAACAATAATTACACTAATTTTATCATTTTTAAATGCTTTCTTCTAAAACACAAGTGGATTATGTGGTTAATGTGCTAGCAAAAAGATACCATTTTTCCCTTTTTAAAAAAAAACCACAAAACCACACACACAACACAAAAATATCTTTTTTGGGGGGGCATTCAAAACGTGAACTTTTAATAACAAACAGCAGGTCAAAGTGGGGAGTCCCCCAAGAGCAAGAATGCTGGAGCTGGTGCTGGAGGCCTCAGGGGCTCCCCATTTCCCCCTTCAAGGACTGAAGACAGGGAAGCAGTGAACCCCACTGAGGGTGGAGGTGACCAGCTCCACATAAATCCAACTGCCAAGGGACCTAAGACCCAAGACGCAGCAGCAGGTGGAGCAGGTTGGGCCCCTGCGTGACCTGGATGGTCCCAGCAGGGTAAGTGGCCCGGGCTGGGCCCGCAAGCAGGCCAAGGCCTCAGGTCAGATGCGGAAGCTCTCCTCCCAGCCATCAATGTGCCGATGCCCTGCAGGGACTGTAGCCGCAGGGAACCCCCGAGGTATTCTGCGTAGGCTCGTGATGTGGGCAGCCCGAAGCCAAAGCCATGCATGGGTCCTGATTGGCCTCCACTGAGCATGTCCATGTGGCCAAAAAGGGGGCTGATCCGGGGATCCTGGATACTGGCCTCGGCCATCGTGAAGTGGTAGTCCATGACCCGGTCCAGGTCCTGATGACAAGATCAATGTCATTGTTGGCGATGGTGATGACGACATCTGGGACGTTGTAAGGAGTGTCTAGGTGACTCTCCATTGTAGCTCTCATGGCGTTTTTGAGCAGCTCGGGCAGGATGTAGTCCAGTGGCATAGGGATGAAGGGAAAACGAGCCCCCACGTGCCCATTGATGCGGACGCAGGGGGGGGGCGGGGCATTGCCATACTTGGCTCACACAGGGTCTGGCAAAATCCACCCATTTTTCAATGATCTTCTTTGGTGAGAGCCGAGTGCAGATGATTCCCACAAAATCAGGCTTGTCCTCGTGCAGTGCCAGGTGATGTGTAGCCAACATGAGGATCCCCAGCTGTGAAGTCAGTGTCTTGTCCAAGAAATAGCGGACAAGCTTTTCATCCTCTATGTGCTTTCGGCTCTCACGCAGGCCCTCCGCTAAGAGGGTCACCACATCCTTATGATCATCCAGCAACTGTCGCACCAGCTGGCAGTACTGGGTCTCTTCTGTCTGGTCTTTGATCGGGGGGAAGTCTGTTAGCTTCTGGAAGGCACGGATGTATAGCTCGTGCACGTGCAGGATGGTGGGGTTGCAGCCAATGATGAAAGGGAGGCTTCGGAAGCTCTTGATGCGGTGAGCGATTCGCACTGGCAGTTCTTGCTGGAGATAGCGGGCACTTTTCAGAAGGTGGCTGCCATCCTGAGAGCGGCCAGAATAGAGCATCATGGTCGGGGTGAGACGGACTGAAGGCTTCTCAGCCGCCACGTCGATGGCTGACTGGTTGTAGAAAGAGGTGACGGTCTTAGAGAGCTCACAGGCCATCTCCACATGGTGTGTCTGTGGCCGATGTAGAGCGGGATTGGAGTGAAAGTGCAGGCCCCAGTAGGGGCCGGAGTGGTGGCCCACCCCAGGGACCACTCCCCAGGACCGTTGCCAGTAGCACTGTCCTGGTCCTTGATCAAACTAGGTGGCCCTAAGGCTGAGGACCCGACAGATGGAGGCAGTGGGGTAAAGAGAGGGGTTGAGCAGGGCTCTTCTCTGACTTCAAGGGCGAGGGCCGGAGGATGCTGACCTGCTCAGCCAGCAGGGTGCAGCTCCCATCGCGGGGCTGGGGTCCGAACGGAACCGCCCGAGCAGTCGACCGGCCGGGTGAGCCCAGCCGCTTGCGCCCTCTGCCGCCGTGACATCACACAAAAATATCTTAAATTCATTACTGTCAAGTAGAAACTGACTCATAGTTGACTGTCCAGTGGGTTCTGGAATGGGAAGTGACTGTCCATCTTTGTGGGAGGATTCTAAACAACCGAAGAGGTGAGGCCTTTGGGTTAAAATTACAACTTCCTTGGGACTACACCAACAGTGTACCCTCAGGATTTTTCCTTATGTACCTTAAAAACACATACAGGGGAATACTGGGAAGACAGAGGCATAAGAAAATGAAAAAATCCAACTGTTTAACAAACAACAAAGTAGCTCAAAATATGTGTTACAAATTTGTGTTTTAAGGTATCACAGTTTCACAAACAGAAAGAAGAGGCTGAATCTCACACAGCATGAAAATGTCTCCGGCCTCTCTTTCCAGATGTGACAGCCCCAGGTGGCCCAAGTGCACTAAGGGACCTGAACTCTTGAGCTGAAGTTAAACAGGACAGATGCTGAGCAAATTGTTTAGGGTGTTATATTCTGACCAGCCTAAGTGCTGTGTGAGGAACTGGGTCCTCACCTAAATCAGCCAGCCTGAATCAAGGCCCTTACAGAGAGCAGTGAGGTGACAAGCAAGGACTGACAGCTGAAGGGGCAGTGAACAATAAGTGTTCTGAGCTACTTGGGAGAGGTAGGGGGAGAGTAGGCAATTAGTTTACCATAAAGAAATGAAGTCTTGATAACACACTATTAACAAAAATGTACCTTGGAAACAGGCAGAATGAAATTCATAACAAAAGAACAAATATTATTTGATCCAACTTAAATGTAATCTCTAGAATACACAGATGTATACAGATTAAAGTAACTCTTCTCAAAAGAGTTGATTACAAGGATTAGATAAATTCTACTTTTTTAGAATGCAATTTGATATACAGCTTCCAGGAAAATGTTGAGCCTTATAGTAAAACTCCATTTAAAGATCCCCATAATCTATTTTCAACACCAAGAACACAAAAATCTCATCACTGGACCAACAGTTAGTATCATGGTAAAAGGAGGAAAGACCGAACTTGTCAATAATTTCACTTTACTTGGATCCACAATCAACACTCATGAAAACAGCAGTCAACAAATCAGAGGATGCTTTGCATTCAGCAAACCTGCAGACAAGGACTTCTGTAAAAAGTGAAAGACAAAGGCAAGCATTTTAAAGATTAAGGAAAGCCTGACCCAAGTCATTGTATTTTCAATTGCTTCATATGCTTGTGGAAGTTGGACAATAAATAAAGGAGATAAAAAAAAAAACTTTTGCCTTTGTATTATGGCACTGGTGAAGACTACTGAATAGATACACCACTGGCTGCCTAAAGAACAAATTTGTCTTAGAAGAAATGCAGCCAAGTGCTTTTTAGAGGCAAGGAGGGTACGATTTAGTCACACATACTTTAAGTATATTGTTAGGAAGAGCCAGTCGCTGGAAAGGACAGCAAGCTTGGGCATCCACCAAAATGTGGAGGTTAGAGAAGTGAAGATTCTCAATGAGATAAGACTGATACAGTGATCAGTGCTTAAGCACAGCAGAGATCAAGCAAGAGTTTAATGTACTATACAGAGGGTCACTGTGAGTCAAGAGTCTACTCAATGGCACTTGTCAGGCTTAAATTACTGCGCCATGCTCCACCATACATTTTTAAAAATATTCATGCCTTTTATACATATTACACTACCTGAAACTCTCTACACATTTCTTGCTTATTCCTTTATTACTGTTACTTCACTAGAAATGCCCTCTGACTTTCATTTCTCCTGATCCAATATTCTGCCCATTTTTGAGAATTCATCTCAGGTTATTTCCTCTCCAAAATGGTTTGGTTCATCTTGATTTTGCCTATATTAATTCTTTTCACGATAATTCTGCTGTAATAAAAAGTGATTATGACTTGAAAAATATCACACACTACTAATACCTTGAAACATTTACAGGAAAACTAGTAAGATATGTCAATGAATCACACTGTTCATGCTATTCTTACTATACCCATTATGAATTACTAAGCTTTATGTTATAATAACTTTCATCGTTCACATCTAACATTTAAAGACAGGTTGCTTTATTATTTTTCTCTTTTTTTTTTACCTCTGTAGATTCTTGTTCCTCAGTCGCAAAAGGGAACAGACTTTCATAGAGTTTTGTAAATGCATCCAATCCATTCTCTAGGATTTCTGCTTCTATGTTGGGATCCAAAGATTCTATTTCTGTGAAGTCCAATTCCCAAACAGTGTCCACCCAGGCTATTTAGGAAACACAATAAAATCAGTAAGTGTTCAACAGGATGTCAAAAATCGGCAATCTGTAGAAAATCAGCAAACTTTGAACTGTAAGCTCAATGGCTAGTACCTTTTGAAAATAGTCTTTTTACAGAATGACCAAACCACTCTCATTTATCAGACTCTACCAAATGATAAATATGAAGAGATCAAAGAGTACCTCAGAAAATCTCATGACCAAGTTAATAAAATCTAAATCAAGTATATAGCATTTCTTTGGCTTCTTGTAAAATAATAGATAGGTTCTTTCCCCAACAAGTTAAAATAGAGGAAACACACTAGACTTCTGCTCAAAGAAATGCAAAGAATTTCAGTCTTCAAAATATGCTGATCAGAATGACTGAGGTGATGCAGTATTAATGCAGAAGTCTAGTTGGATACAAGCTCTCTTGACCCATACATTTCTATCAAACCAGTTCCCCATGTTTTTGTCGTTCCTTTAAAGTTTAACACTAGGACTAGTATTGTTGTGTTATGTACAATCAAGTCAAAGCAACTCATAATTGACCCTCCAGTGGGCTTTCTTAGGCAGTCACTGTGTCAATCCATCTTGTTGAGGGTCTACCTCTCTTATGCTGACCCTCTACCTTTCCAAGCATGATGTCCTCCTCCAAAGACTGGGATCCTCTTGACAACATGCTGAAAGTACATGAAACAGAGTTTCACCATCCTTGTCTCCAAGGATGTGTTCCTAATCACTGCTTGGTTGTTTTTTTAACTTGTGTGCAGTCAAATAGGATCTGACTGGCATAGGAGGAGACTGCCCCTCATTCTCTAGAGAATCTGGTAGATACAAATCGCATGCCTTCAGGATTGCATCGCAGTTTCTTACCACTAGGCCACCAGAGCTCCCTCCTAATTATCTTTAAATGTGTGTTTACTACTGAGTTAGTGGCAATGAGCAAAATGTCATAAAGACCAGGAGTAGCCTCAAACCTTTCTTTCATGGTTCTGAGGAATATTGTATTTAATATATATAAAACCCCTGTAATTAATTAGGCCTTTCTGCCTTAGACTCCAGATCAGGTGGTGCAGTCTGTATCAAACTGTGCTAACACACACACAAAAAAAAAAAAAAGAAAAAAAATTGTGGTAACTCAAAGGCCACAAGTCTCTAGTGGCACGTATGCACCAGGGCTAACAGCGGTTCTAAGAAAAATGTGCAGTCTCTTTCCATTACAAGTTCCTAACCTGGGACGCGATGCACATCACTACATGCTTCCTCAGAAAGTAATCTGCTATCATTTTCTATCACCTACATCCACTCAGCCCACTTGGATAAATTTTACCTGCATTTACAAAGAATAACAAGAGAAAGGAGAAATCTTCAAGATACCATTTTACAAGTTCATAAAACTTGAGGGACAACAGTTGCACATTATTCCAAGTGATGGTTCTCAGTTTCAGTTTTCTTTAAAAAAAGACTTAATAATGGTAGAAGACATACAAGAGACTCAGGGTACACACAAACAGTACTCATCACTTGTCAGAAATCTAGCCAATGGAATACAGTTTTGTTATTGATATGTGCCATCAAATCGCCTGTGACTCATAGTGACCCTATGTACAACAGCTCTAAACCCTGCTCTATGCTGAGCCAACCTTATCAACTCCAGTACACCTACTCCCATTTACCTGTCACAGAGTCAATCCATCTTGTTGAGGGCTTTCCCCTCCTACACTGTCCCTTCACCCTCCCAAGCATGATGTCCCTCTCCAAGGACCGATCTCGCCTTGCAACATGTCCAAAATATGTCAGACTTCAGAATCCTTGCCTCCAAGGAACAGCCTGGCTTCACTTTTTCCAGGATAAACTTGTTTGTTCTCTTAGCAGTCCATGGTATATTCAACATTCTTCACAGCTAAAAGGCATCAATTCTCCTTCTATCATCCCTAGTCTCTGTCCAGCTTTCTGATGCATAGCATGTAAATGCCAAGACCATGGCCTGAATCAGGTGCCCCTTAGTTTCCAGACTGACATCAATGCTCTTCAGTTCTCTGGAGATGTCCCTAATAGTAGACTTTTCCAATGTAATTCACCTTTTGAGTTCTTGGCTTCTGGTACCAACAGTGTTGATTGTGGAGCCAAGCAAACTAAAGCTGTTAACAATCTCAATTTTTTCACCATCTATTACTGATGCTAAATGGCCCAGTGGTAAGAATCTTTGTTTACTTGATGTTGAGCTTCAATCCACATTGAAGGCTGCAGTCCTTGACCATCTGAAGCAATGACTTCAGGTCCTCCTCAGTTTCAGCTAGCAGGGTTGTGTTGTCTGTATTAATGTAGGTTGCTGATGAGTCTTCCTCCAGTCCTAATGCCACATTTCTCCTCATAGAGCCCAGCCTCCCAGAAAATCTGTTCTGCATATAGACTGAAAAGGTATGGAGATAGAATACATCATTGGTCTACATCCTTCCCAATTTTGAACCAGGCTGTGTTTCCTTGCTCTGTTTTGATGACTGCCTCCTGGTCCAAGTACAGGTTTTATATAAGCATGTTCTGGGATTCTCATTCTTCTCAGAGTCAGCCACAGTTTCTTGTGATCCACACAGTCAAATGCCTTTGCATAATCAGTGAAACAGACATTCCTCTGGTATTACCTACTTATAGCCAAGAGCCATCTAACATTAGCTATAATATCCCTTAGTAACACAGACTCTTCTAAACCCAGACTGCACTTCAAATAGTTCTCTACTGATGTACCATTCCAGTCGTTTTTTGATAATTTTCAGAATAGACAGTGTAGCATAACTAATTATTCTCTCCTGTTGTTGTTGTCATGTGCTGGCAACCCATACTGACCCTTTGGTGGGTTTTCAGAGGCAGTTTATCTGCGAGGGAGATTACCCATCCCTCTGCAGAGCAGCTGGCAGATTTGAACCACATGCTTTTGGGACTGCAGCACAGCTTCTTAGCCTTACGCCACCAGAGCTCTCTTATTCTCTCCTAGTCACTTTCTAAAGAAGTTTCTGCATCTTTTCTAGCTTCTCTTTCTCTTGTATATCCTCATTTATTTTATATACACATTTTCAATGCACACCAATTATTTCTTCTCTTCTTTCATTGTTGCATTCTCTCCCTCCTTCCTTCCCCATCCCTCAGCCTACCCCACAATGCAACCCTCGTTCCAGATTGTTCTCATACATATAATGCATAATCATAAATTACTTTCAGACAGTTCTTCCCCTCATCTGTTCTAATGCAAAGTTCACTATCCATCCTCTCCTCATGCCCTCCCCAATCCCCCCCCCAGGTCTGTCCTACTTTATAACAGTGGTGTTATGCAGATATCCTTTTGTGATTTGAGATATTTCACTCAATATCATGTCCTCAAAGCTCCTCCATGTTATGTAATGTTTTACTATTTCAGTGTTTTTCAATGCTCGGTAGTATTCCACTGTGTGGATGTACTATAGCTTTTCTGTCCACTCATTTATTGATGGGCACTTGAGTTGCTTCTATCTCTTTGCTATAATGAATAATGCAGCAATAAACATTGGTATGCATCCAGCTGTTTGAATTGTGGCTCTGAGGGTAGTGGAATTGCTGAGTCAAATGTATTTCCAACTTTTTGAGGAAGCGCCAGGCTGCCCTCCATAGTGGTTGTACCATTTTGCATTCCCACCACCAGTGGGAATCTCTCTGCAACCTGCCCACATTTGTTGTTTGCTGCCCTGTTGAACTCTGCTATTGTTGCTGGGGACACCAATATTTCTGAATCACATCTATCAAGGTTTAACTACAATCAAAAATCTGATGTTAACCCTATTAATGATTCTGCCATTAATAAGCTTTAGACATGATCTTCTGTTCAAACCAGTAAATTCAGGTCCAATACTCATTACGCTTTGTTTCCTCAACCGTAAAATGGAGATACCATCTTCTCTACTGACTTCACTTGGGATTAAACTCAAAAAACTCACTCAGCCACTCTCCATCAGGTTTCCAAGACTGTAAATCACAATGTCAGGAGACTGCCTGACCACTAGGCGTGGACACAGGACCCAAGTGCTACGGTTAGTAGTGAAACTTGTTATAGATTATTACCAGAGCTTGCACTTGGGATAGAAGAACACATCATTTACCCGCTCAAAAAGTACTTTTTTGGAGAAAGTACTATAGAGAAGTCTCTGTGATAAATATTTTGAATACAAATATGAACACCAGATGATTCTTGTCCACAAAGTTCATACTATTCCACACATGTAATAGAAGGGGGCGGGGGGAAGCAGCCTGTAATGGGTAAGATTTTGAGTTTTGAGTCAGAAAGAATCAGGCTAATGTCTTGTTTTGATTGATTACTTATGGGTAATTAGCCTCCCTTTCATCATTGGATGAAGGGTTACTGAAAAGGAAAGTGTGTACAGTGTACAAAGTGTACACAGTGTGTGCCACTTAAAAGACAATCAGTAAATGACAACTATTCTTTTTACAATGGATGAATGTTAAAGTTGTACAGGATACATAACATGTGAGGGCATAAAAGGAAATATTAAGGGAAATAAAAGTTGAGAAAATAATTTGTTTAGACTTGAACCTAGGAGTTTTCCATGGAAAGAAATGAAACTGCATTCAGAATAGGAAAAAAAGGGTAAGGAAGCACAAAAGAGGAAAATGCAGGAAGCGTTTTCAAATACATACAAGAACTTGTATGGAGGTTGAGAATTCTTTAGCAATTGAGTATTCAACAGTTGGTTTGTGTCAGCTTAAACTTTGGGGGGAAAAAAACCAAACAGTGAAATATTATACTCTTCATTTGACAGATTAAATCAAACAGTAAGATTAAAAGCTTGTCAAATGACATATGGATACTATGTGGTAGAGTGAAGATTTATTATGCTTTTAGAAAAGCTGGCTGGCGTGGTCGCTGAAGGTCCTTTTATACTGCACACCATTTATAAGGCACCACACAAGGGTGTGGTTATTTATTTAGGAGACAGAGGACATGATTTAAAGGCTTAAAGACGTGAATGAATAAACTGCTTTAAAAAGCAATCCTGGAAGAAGTGTTGGATGTGCAGGAGTGGTGGCATCAAAAAGCAGCTGAGATATTCCAGCAATCGTCCAGATAAGCGCTAATGAAAAATTTGGATAGTGGCATCGGGAACAGAGCACAGAACCACGCAAGATACGTTTTAAGGGTTGACAAGTGATTGGAGGTATGAAAGGTACCAGAGGAGCCATGATTCTCAGTTTTGTGGACTGGGTGGTACCGGAAAGCCAGAGTTAAAATGCATGTTTAGTTGGCAAACAAAGATTCTGTTCTATTCATGTGATGTTGGCGGTGCCTATGAGAGATTTAGTTAGAACACATGTGAGCAAAATCAATGAGAATGAAATATGACTTCAAAACTAGATCTGCTCTTTAAAATCGAAGGAATAAAAGAGGTTGCCCCAGAAGATTCTGAAAATAGAAGGTCAAGACAGAAAAAGGAAATGTGACATAACTAAAAGAGACGAAGCAAGCACCATAGTTGTGTTTTGTTTTTTCGTTTTAAGAGATAGCTCTCTAGCGCTGAGCCTTACCACGGCTCAACCCCCTCTCACCAACGGCCCCAGGCCCAAACCTGAGGGCACCAGACCCCTGAAGAGAGCATATACTCCTGTCAAGCCAGGAGACCAGCCAGACCCTTCTCTTTCTCACTAGGCAGATGCATTCACTCGCATACTCAAAGCAGCCAGAGCAGAGCTCCGTCTGTTCTGTTCCTGTTCCCTTTACCCTCCCCCTCCTCCACACAGCCAGCTACGCTGAGAGCCAGCGTTGTGAGGTGTGCCCCCCAACTCCGCGCCACACGCCTCCAGTAGTCTCACCCAAGCTGAGGTCCAATGGGTACCAGGCCTGCAGACTTGCCCTGAGGCTTTCCCAAGCCATGGCTTCCACTACAAATATCGCCTTCTAAATAGTCAACTTCGGGGCTCGCTCCCGCGCGCGCGCCCAGGCTTTCCTGCTGACCAATCAGATTACACGGAATTTCCTCACCAGCCAATCGTCGTGGCAACGCCATATTTCTTATTAACCAATCAGCTGAGGGCTCTGTCACATGCGCAGAGAATTGGGCAGGCCCCACACTGAACCTGTTCAATTATCCTGCGGTGTGTAATGGTTAAGTGAACGCTCTACTGGCAAATTGAAGGTTGATGGTTCCAAGTCAGCAGCCAGTGCAGGAGAAAGATGTGGCAGTCTGATCCATAGAGACTGCAGACTTGGAAACCCCACGGGGCAGTTTTACCCAGTGAACTCATGGCAATGGATTTGGGTTTTGTTTTTAACTTTTTTTCTCCAAAGACCTAAGCAGGTATGCCGAAGAGTGTCCTTCCCGTTTTGCTTAAATGAGCGATTTTATAGGCTTTGAAGCAGGATCCTTTCTCTAGTAATTGTTACCCTTGCACCCTTTCAAGCAGCATTAACGTGTGCAGGGCTATTTTTACTCCTTTTGGACAACGGACAATGTACATATCATGAGAATGTGACAGCTCAATGAGGTATTAAAATAATAAGGAATGAGCAACCACGAAGACTCGGGAAAAGGTCTGCAGTGCTTTTCATCTGGTGGGAGGGAGATGACAGTTTCCCAAGGCAAAGAGTGACCATTCAAGGATGGGCGAGGCCAGCTGCGTGGCTCCTGTTGCACATGCGCAGTGCGCGCGCTGGCATCCCGGAGCAGGGACGTGCGCATGCGCTACAACCCCCTTGTGGGCGGCCGGCGACCAACCCCAGCGAACTCTGCCCCCGCCTCCCTTCCCCAGGGCGATCCTTGGTTCCGCGACGCCGCTGGAGCACGTCGGATCTCCGCACTGGGGGCAGCCGAGAGGCTCGTCCTGCAGCCCTGCGCTGAGCTTCCCTGGCGGGTGCAAAGGCAACATCTACAAACTCCGCACCGCCACGATACTCCAGGTGTGGGGTGTCCCGCTGCAAGGCTGGCATTGCTGTGCCGACGCTAATCTTTTCGAGGCCGCAGACTGCCTAAGGCTACAGGAGCAGAGAGCCCTAGTCCAGCCTCCAATCCCGCGCGTCGCAACCCACCCCCTTGCACAGGACGGGCTCATGCCCTAGCCCGGCCCGGACACTCCGAATCGGGTGTCATTTGGCCTGCTGGAGCCGGAGACAGCACCCTGCATCCACCCAGAAAGGAAGCAAGAAAAGGAGGCCTTGCTGACACTGGCCCCTGCGCAGCCCCGAGTGCGGTGCGATGAGCTTCTTCGGCTTTGGCCAGAGCGTGGAGGTGGAGATCTTGCTGAGCGATGCGGAGAGTAGGAAGCGGGCCGAGCATAAGACGGAGGATGGCAAGAAGGAGAAGTATTTCCTCTTCTACGATGGGGAGACGGTCTCCGGGAAGGTGAGCCTCATGCTCAAGAACCCCAATAAGCGTCTGGAACACCAAGGCATTAAGATCGAATTCATCGGGCAAATCGGTGAGTTCAAGGCCAGCAGCAGCAAGCAGTTGAGCTTGTCATGGAGGTGGGGCCCGGGTGGCACAGGCGCAGCCTCAGGGTCCATTTGGAGCCCCTTTGCAGCTGCATGCTGGGCCTTAGGCCCGGCTGCAAGTCCTGCTCGTCGTGACTCCCAGCGTGGCCACTATCAGTGCCAGATGTGACAGCGCACAGAGGGAGGTGGGGATGAATGAGGATGAAAGGACTCGTTCTTGCCTTTCTGCAGATTGGTACCTGTACAATACTAGGTTCTCTGCCACCTGCTGCTAAGGTCAGCGCTAGCTGAAAAAGGATGGATATATTAGGGGATAGGACCCTACTAAGATGAAGTCCCCACCATATAGACATCCAGGACGCTCAAACCCAGACTCAACAGGCCCTCTGTCTCAATTTGTTGCATTCCCACTCACACCTTGTTGATTTTAGATATAGATTATCGAAGATGCTACCCACCAGCTTCTCTCTTGTGTAATCTTTATTCTTTTCTCCATATAGTTTAAAGAATTGTGATCTTTTCAGTTACCTAGCCTACATGTAGGGAGCTCTAGTGGACCAATAGATAGATAGAGTTGCACTGCCAAAACCAAGGCAAGGAGTTGAATTCCCTGGTTGCTCCTCAAGAGAAAGATGAGCAGCCTCCTCCAGTTTGATTTACAGCCTCTGAAAAGCAGCTGGAGATCAGCTATGAGCCACTTTTGGCTGGATGGCCCATTACAACAAGCTTACATTTTAAGACTTTTTTATTAGGATTCTGTTTTTCAGCTGATGCACTTTTCTCCTTAAAGGCAAAGAAATACTTCTAGAACCTCAAATGATAAAAATTTTTTAATGCTCTGCTGGTCTTTAAACATGATTACTAACAATTAGAACTAGACAATATAGAGTAGTAATAATAAAGAAAATTTGGGGAACCCTCAGATAGGACTGGGTTGCTTTCAATTCTGAGATTATCAGTGATTTTGTGTTTATTAAGCCCTGTGGGCTAAACACTTCTAGTAAAGAACGCTGTTACCTATTTCATACGTTCCTTGTATAGTGGTGATCTTTTAGTGCTTTCCTGGAGAAGACTTAAATGTTCTTTCCCAGATCCTGAGAACTCAAGCAAACAATTTTCTTTTTTTCCCCTTGATAGAGAGGGGACACTGAAGCACTGGTAGTAGGAACTCCAGAACAGGAATCCGTGTCCTCCTGGCTCTGCACTCCAGTAGTCCAACTGAAGCATGTTGCCTCTTGCTACTTAGGAAAAACTGGTAGCATAGTTTCTAGGGAGTTGTGCTGCTAACCCAAAAGCTGTGCCTCTCTGCGGTAAAATCCACAACTGCTCCGTGAGAGAAAGAGCTAGACAGTCTCCTCCCATGCCATTTACAGCCTTGGAAACCCAATAGAGGGTCAGTTATGAATTGGTTCTGGCTCCACAACAATGGGTGAGTGAAAGGCTAAAGAAATCAAAACCAGGTTGAAGACTGCCTGATCCTAAGGGAATTTTTTGGTTATTTCAGAGTTAGATTATGAGAGACATTTTCCTCTCCCAAAGTTCCTTGGTAAATTATAACAAAGAGGTCTTTAATTTGAACTCCTGTACAGACATCTTGAAAGAAGGGCCAGCTTCCCTACCTGCAAAAAGTCACAGCTTTCAGAACCCTTAGGGAGCATTCTACTTTGCATACATAGAGTTGCTGTGAATTGGGAATCAGCTCAGTGGCACCTGCTTTGGGGTTTTGGAAGCTTCCCTCCCCCAACCCTACTTTCTACTCTACTCTCGTGGCCTAGTAGGTAAGGAGTTGTGCTGCCGTCACAGACAGAGGTGTGTTGAACTCACTAGCTTCTTGGAACAAGTTAGACAGTCTCCTCCTATGTGATTTATAGCCTCTGAAAACCCCCTGGAGGGTCAGCTATGAGTCATTTTCGACTTAATGCTAGTCAATGAGTTAGTGACCAGAAAAGGGAGTAGAGAGTGTGTTACATACTTCTGTTTTCCTACTTCTGGCTTAGGCACTGTGAACATAATGCTCTTGGGACAGGATTTATCATGGCATCTCTGGCTGCTACCTGTGAGAGTTAACAATGGTATCTCCCATTTGTGATATCCACAGGTTACCTCCAGACATTGCCAAATGTCTTTCTCCAGTGGAAGATCAGCTTGTTGCTGGGGGAAAAAAAAAAACACACCAAAAACTACTGGCCAGGGAATATGAATCTAAAGCATTTTAAATGTTAAGCATGTTGTCACCTGCGAGTCATAGCGACTCTGTGTACGACAGCTCTGAAGCCTGCCCTGTCCTTAGCCAGTCTCTCTGACTCCGAAACACCTACCCCCATTATCCTAGTTACCATGTCAGTCCATCTCATTTGAGGTTCTTCCTCTCCTGCACGGTTCCTTCACCCATCCAATCATGATGTCTTTTTCCAAGGACTGTTCGCTACTGGCCATGTGCCGAAAGTATATGAATTGGAGCTTTAAAATTCTTGCCTCCAAGGAGAAACTTGGTTTTATCTTCTCAAAGAGACAGACTTGTTTGTTCTTTTAGTGGTCCATCATGTGTTCAGTATTCTTCTCCAGCACCACAACTCAAAGGCATCGGTCTTCTTCTGTCATCCTTCATCATTGTCCAGCTCTCTGATGCATATAGCAAGTAGTTGCAAAGACTATAGTCTGAATCAGGTGCAAATTAGTCTCTAGACTGACATCTAGACTGACTTCTTGGTACTCTGGAGAGGTTCCTGACCACAGATTTTCCCAGTGGCGTTTGTCTTTTGATTTCCTGACTGCTGGTGCCAAGAGTGTTGATTGTGGAGTCGAGCAAGTTGAAATTATTAATTATCTCAATGCCTTCTCCATCTATCATGGTGCTGGCAATTGGCCCAGTGGTGAGAATCTTTATCTACTTGATGTTGAGTTTCATATAATGGTTTCTAAACTGTTGCCTATCTGGAATTAATATTTTAAGTTAGTATTTTAAAGTTATTTCATGAATTCTTTGATTCCATAAAAGAAAGTGTGGACAGACAAGTTAATATATCATCAGTCATAGGTAGTGCCTCACCAGTGGATGAGAGGGACCCTACAAGTCCCCACGACAGAGATAATAAAAATAGCTCTTCTAGGAGGAATGGTACCAAGACTTCCTCCAATCTGAGTGAAAAGTTGAGGAGGTGCCTATTGTACTTGCCCTTTGGCCTTTGACTTTGCGCATCTTTTGATCTCATCCCTGATGAGTTTTCTAAGAACCCTCTCATGTTTCCACTGAAAGTGCCTCCTAGACCCTCAGTATTCTAGACTAAGCAGACCATAGAGCTTTGGGAGAATCCTGCCCTGAAAGCTGCAGTGTGCTCACCTATAAAGTAGGGATAATAATCGCTGTATGAGGATGGTGGTGATGTCAGAGAATCATGTTTTGAGCTCCTCTGTTATTCTTGTCTGCTTTTAAGTCAGTTCTGACTAGAAACTTGACTGGCTTGACTGGAACCCCATGTGTGTCAGTAGAACTGCACCCCTTTGGGGTTTTAAGGCTGTGTGTCACCTTTCTGACGTAAATTGCCAGCCCTGCCTTTCAAGCCCTTTGAGTGAATTTGAACCTCCCAACTTCCACCCAGCAGTTCAGCACCTAACTGTTTGAGCCATTCAGGGAGTCCTGAGTCCTTGTAGAGGATTCTTTTATAAAAATTCAAGTAATATTCCTCGTGCGCCCCGGCCTACGGACGCCCAGGACTCCAAGATGGCCTCCGTCATACCACTGAAGGAGAGGAAGCTCTTGGATGTAAAACTGGGGGAGCTGCCCAGCTGGATACTGATGCGGGACTTCACCCCGAGTGGCATCACAGGAGCGTTCCAGCGAGGCTACTACCGGTACTACAACAAGTACGTCAATGTGAAGAAGGGGGCATCGCTGGGCTGTCCATGGTGCTGACAGCTTACGTGGTGTTTAGCTACTGCCTTTCTTACAAGGAGCTCAAACATGAACGGTTACGGAAGTACCACTAAGAGGCACCGCCTGCATTCCTGCCCGGGTGCCTTTGCCCTGACGCTCTTCCCTTCTTCAACAGCCCTCTGTCTCCTAGATTGAGAACTCTGTCCCATAAAAGATGACACACTCTGTACAAAAAAAAAAAAAAATTCAAGTAATAAAGACAGAGTTCTATTTGCAAAATCCATTTGCAACCTGATGAGTAACCAAGCTTTCCTTCATATCCCTATCCCCTTCTCCCAAAGTTAGATTGTCATTCTTATCTATAGGGAGTGCACGTTTACCATATGGGCCCATCATACCTGTTGAGTTTAGAGCAGTAACTGCTGCATGTTTGATGATACAAGCATTAGTATATACTCACTGTAATTATTCATGGTTACAGAGGGAATAAGCCCCATGGGTTTCAGAATAGAACTGTGCACCGTAGGGCTTTCAGTGGCTAATCTTCGTAATCTTTTGGAACAGATCAACAGCCTTTTTTTTTTCTTCAAAGTTCTAAGTAGATTTGAACTGCTGTACTTTAAGTTAGCACTTAAGTGTGCTGTTTGTATCACCCAGGAATTCTATCCCAGGGAGTGGTAATAGAATGATATACACAGTATCATTAATATTGATTACAGACAATATGTGTCTTATTACTTGACCCTAGGATGTGTTGTTTAATTAAGGCTAAGACATCAGAATAGCCAGGTTAATTTAAGCGTGTTTGGTGCAAGGAGGAGTTTGTGTCTCTAAAGTACATACAGTGACTGATAGTGGATAAGGGGGAGCTGAGGTCATTCCCCAAGGAAAAGATGAGTGATCTCCTTCTGTGTCAAGTAAAGCCTCCAGAAATCCAAATGAGGATCATCAAGGTGGAGCTTTGGTTTTGGTTTTGTTTTTTTAAAGAAATACTAGTCTATGAGTTTGAAGTGTTTGGGGGAGGAAAGCGACTCTAGTCTATTTATGGGGACACAGTGACTTTTCTTAGCTTTTTGATTCCTCCTGATTTCCCCAAAGAAGCAGGGTGTGAAC